CCCCCCCCCCCTTTCGGGGACCACCCGGGCCCCTCGCCCGAAGGACAGGGGCAGGGGCTGTCCCCGGGGGCCGACCCGACGGAGCTAGCGGGATCGCAAGTTGCGTGATGACCAACTTCAACTTCAACAAGGGTTTTCAAGCTAACAATAAATTGCCCCCCCCCCACGAAAAAACAGCAAAAAAACAGGGCTTTTAGGGGGTATTTTGCGGTGTATGTTGACAATTGACTCGCTCCCTGCTCATTCTAATGCAGAAGACGCCCATATTAGTTCAATTATAAATTTATTCATTCAATTTTTGTGAAATACAATTTAATCGTATAATACACACTGCTTAAAATACATACAGAGCGCGCCCCGAACCTTAGCCCGTTGTGTCTACAATGAATGCCTCCGGAGGTGGGCCTTCATGTTGCTCAGGTCCGCGAATGTCTTGCCGCACTCGGTGCACTGGTACGGCCTCTCTCCCGTGTGGGTGCGGAGGTGCAGACTCACGCCACTCTTGCGCGTAAACTCCTTGTGGCACACGCCGCACTCGTAGGGCTTCTCTCCCGTGTGAGTCCGCAGATGTCTCCGCAGATCGTCGGCGCGCAGACACTTCTTGTCGCACTCCGTGCACTCGTACTTCCTCTCTCCGATGTGGGCCAGGAGGTGCAGGCGGAGATACTCCTTTGACTTGAATCTCTTGCGGCACTCGGTGCACTCGAAGGGCCTTTCTTCGGTGTGGGTGCGGAGGTGAGCAGCCATATTACCCCTCTGTGAAAACTTCTTGTTGCACATGCCGCACTCGAAAGGCTTCTCGCCCATGTGAGTTCGGAGATGAGCTCGCAGCCTGATAGCGTTCAAACACTTCACGTCGCACTCCGTGCACTCGAACTTCCTCTCTCTGGTGTGGACCTGGAGATGTGAGCGGAGATGTGACGTTGTCTTGAATCTCTTGCGGCACTCGGTGCACTCGAAGGGCCTGTCTCCGGAGTGGGTGATGAGGTGACGTGCCAGAGACGTAGGCTCCACAAACTTCTTGTCGCACTCGGTGCACTCGTAGGGCTTCTCTCGGGCGTGTGTTTGCTGATGTTTGTGTAAAGTAAAGCGATCCGGAAATCTCTTTTTGCACTCATCGCACTCGAAGGGCTTCTCTCCCGTGTGTGTGCGTATGTGCCTCCGAAGATTACTAGTGGTCTGAAATTTCCTGTTGCATACAGAGCATTCGTGTTTGTAGTGCTGTTCTCCGGTGTGCACGCGAAGGTGGACCTGCAGATCAGAAGAACGCGCAAACGTCTTGTCGCAGACCGTGCATTCGAAGGGCCTTTCCCCCGTATGAGTTACAAGGTGGCTTTTCAGCTGCTCCCCTCGCGCGAATTTCCTTTTGCACAAGGTACACGCAAATGGCCGCTCTCCGGTGTGCACCTTGAGATGACTACGAAGACTCGACTCTTGCCTGAATCTCTTGCTGCACTCGGTGCACTCCAAGGGCTTTTCTCCGGTGTGGGTGCGGAGATGTTTAGCCAGAGAGTCGTCGGTCACAAACTTCTTGTTGCACTCGTTACACTCGAAGGGCTTCTCTCCTGTGTGAGTCCGCAGATGAGTACGCAAACATCCACCCGTTCTAAATTTCTTATTGCACACGCTGCACTCAAAGGGCTTCTCCCCCCCTGTATGGCAGCGTAAGTGGCTCTTCAATTGTACAATTTCTGCGAATTTCCTTCCGCACACTGTGCACTCGTGTGGCTTCTCTCCTGTGTGTGTGCGGAGATGCGTAGTCAGCGAACCGATGTTCGCATACTCCTTGTCGCACACGTCGCAGTGGAAAGGTTTTTCTCCAGTGTGGGTCCGCTGGTGAATGTGAAGGCTACCGCTCTGCGTAAATGTCTTGCCGCACACTTCACACTCGTAGGCCTTGGATTCCGCGTGCACCATCGTGGCCCTCCTGGAACTAGTTGGCGTCCGTTCCTGCCGGAAAGAAGAGAAGATTGTCTATAAATCTGTAGCACTAGCACTGTGCTCCGACCACCGTTCGGCTGCCGAGGCCGGCGCCCGTACGTACCCTTGTACTCGTTAACTCGTTAACGGTGTTAGGCGAGCACGGCGACGGCTTCGTAACTTCGGCACACTGGCAACAACTGCACCGAGAACCGTCTGACTACTGCCGAGCCGACGGCTGTCGCCTCGCCTGACTGAGACTGCTGACTCGGGGTACGCCACGCCACAGCCACACCCCACACCGGTGCCGGTACGGTGACGGGTTGGAGCAGCGGACTGTGGATGGGGTGGGGACGTGGGGAG